AATGCTTTTTACTTTAAAAATAACAAGAAGCATGGGGGCAGCTAGGTGGTGCAGTGGATAGAGCTCCAGCCTTGGAGTCAGGAGGACTTGAGTTCAAATCCAGCCTCACACACATGATACTTACTAGCTATGTGACCCTGGGCAAGTCACTTAACCCCAACTGCCTCACCAAAAAGCAAAAAACAAAAAAAAAAACAAAACAAGAAGCAGGGACACTCTTAGGTAAGTAATTAATACACAGTCTCCAATATGTCTTTTCTTTGAACTCCACTTCCTGGTTCTCTGAGATTGGGTACTAGTCATTTTGTAAACCAGAATTCTGCACATGCTTATACGGACATATACGGAAAGGAACTCTTTTATTTCTGTCTTCATATCCCCGTCATTTGGACTAATGTTTGGCATATTAGTCGATGCTTAATGAATGTTTATTGATTCGTTGATCCAAAGTCAGGGGAGTCAGCATGGACTCAAGCAGAATATACTCTTAAGGGAAGCAGCAGGCAACAATGATATGATGGCTTATCTTCTGCAATTTGGACCCATCTCATGTCTCCCAACCTTTGCACTGGTCTAGAATGTTGTCCATGTTTAGCTCCAGCTCTTAGAGTCCTCATCTTTAAAATGCAACTCCGGCTCACTAAATACTAATGTCCCCCTCCTAAACTACTTTGTATTTATCTACTTTGTATACATGTGCATTTATTCACTGTATATTTATGCTATATATACACATATGGGCAGCTAGGTGATGCAGTGTATAGAGTGCTGCACCTGGAGTCAGGAAGACTCCTCTTCCCGAGTTTAAATCCAGCCTCAGACATTTGCTAGCTGACCCTTGACAAGTGACTTAACCCTGTTTGCCTTCATTTCCTCATCTGTAAAATGAGCTAGAGAAGGAAATGGCGAACTACTCCAGTACCTCTGCCAAGAAAACCCCAATTGGGGTCATGACTGAAAATGACTATACAACAAAACATACATATATGTATACATATACATATATATATATGCTTGTTATCTCTCCCTCTTGTCCCACCTTCCCATTAGAATGTAAGTTCTTTGGGAGTAGAGATTGTTTTTTGCTTTGTATTTTAATTCCTCAGAACCTATGGCAGTGCCTGGAACACATAGAAGGCACTTAAAATGCTTGTTGTTAATGTTAAAAAGTTGCCCAAGAGATTCCTTTTTTTTTTTTTTTTTTTTTGGTGAGGCAATCAGGGTTAAGTAACTTGCCCAAGGTCACACAGCTAGTAAGTGTCAGGTATCTGAGGGCCAGATTTGAACTCAGGTCTTCCTGGCTCTAAGGCCAGAGCTTTATCCACTGCACTACCTAGCTGCCTCAAGAGCTACCTTTTAAGGTAAGGGCTAGCTTTGCCCCTTCTTTGCCTCACTGTATTAGGATTGCTATGGCCACTATGTTATCTCCAGCCTGGAATGCTTCTCTTCCACTCCACCCCCTCTTCTCTTTACTTGTAGACATCATACCTTTCCTTCAGGGCCCCAATTCTTTTCTGATGACATCAGGTCCCAGCAATCTCTTGCTTCTCTAATTCCGTGCTCCTTTTGTCTATATGCTTTTATTGCTTAAGTCCCCCTTAGTGGGCAGGTCTCTTTTCTCCCAGGAAAAAGCCATTTAGATGGGAAAAGATTCTCTAGTATAGGAGACCTTAAGGACCCTTCCTCCTTTCCATAGAGGTCTTGGGAGGAATAGGACAATGAGGGTGGAATTGTTGGGAAGTGCCTTGTTTTAATTTTCTGATTACAAGGAGGAGATGAAACTGTCTTATTGATGATTATGAATTGACCTGGAAAAAGGGGATCCCTTAATTAACTCGGTAGCAATCCTAAATCCTTAGATGAAGGCAAAGGAGAGTCATTCCTGCAGAAGAGGTGGGGTAGCTTCTTAGCAGAGACTTCTAAGGGGCAGAAATTAGGTGTTATTGCTGCCCTCCCCCAACAAGGTGTTCTCAAGGAGGGGGAAATTTTGGCTGGTGGTTCAGGGAGCACTGAGTGGTACAGTGAGAGCTTCTGTATCTCCTCAGACCCTTGGCAAGTTGCTTTCTGACCACTTAGCCACTTTATGATGTGATGCTATACCATTATGAAAAATTAGTGACTTCCAGAAGTGTCCTCATCTTTGCTGTGTCTTTGATGTTCCTGGTGCAACCTATACTCATCTGTCAAACTGATCTTCCTAAAACAGAAGTCTGACCATATCGCCACCACCTCCTATTCAATAAACTCCAGCAGCTTCCTTTTACCTCCAGGATCAAATATAAAACTGCCTGTTTGGATTTAAAAGCCTTTCATAATTTATCCTTTTCCTACCTTTCAATTTTCTTACACCTTATCCCTATCCACATGCGCCATGACCCAGTAACACTGGCCTCCTTGCTGTTCCTCACTCCATCTCTGGACGCTGAGTATTTTCACTAACTGTTCCCCATGCCTGGAACTCTCTCCCTGTTCATCTCCACTTCCTGGCTTTCCTGGCTTTCTTCAGATTTCAACTGAAGTTCCATCTTGTGCAAGAACCTTCTCCCCTTCCTCCTGAACCATAATGCTTTCCCCCTGAATTTATTCCAAATTTACCCTGTATATATCTTGTTTATATATGTAGTTGTTTGCATGTTGTCTCCCCCAATAAGACTATGAACTGTTAAGAAAAGAGACTTTTTATTTGTGGTTTGTCTTTTTTTTTTTTGAACCTTTCTTTTTATCATCAGCATTTAGCACCATGCCTGGTATGTAGTAGGCACTTAATAAATGCTAAATAACTGACCGGTGCTGCCCCTACTCATTGTCATAGCCTTCAATCACTGTGAACTACAAAAATTTGGTAACCTACCACCACACTAATCATTAAGATTTGGTTCTTCCAAAGGGGAAAAGTAAAGTCTATGATTTCTGGTCTTCATTCTTTTCTACATTTGGTTACTACTTCAGGGACTGTCACATTTATTTTAATAGGTTGTTTTTAACAGGTCACTTAAATATATATATATATATATATATATACACACATATATACACATACACATATACATATATACATCTACATACATATATGTATGTGTGTGTGTGTGTGTGTGTGTGTGTGTATTTGTTCTGCTTTTGCTATTTTTTAGTTTAGGTTTTTTCCTCTTACTTTTCTTCCAGTATTGCCTATGCCAGGCTCCTCACATCTCTGAGATTAGGGCTGTCTGGTAACCTCCCTAAAGCCGTTTATATACTAGAAGATCTTTCAGAAGACTGTTAAGACCCTGCCATCAAAGGGTAGGGTTTAATAGGATCAATACCTATCAAAGCTCTTTCTCCTCTCCACCCCCCCAGGTAATTTAGACTTGATTGGCCTGGGCGCTAAAGTTGAAGCCAAATTGTGATTCAGGGTCTTTCAGACTAGATGGAACATAGTGAATCACGACCCCCTGCCCTAACCTGCTGACCACATCCCTTTTTCTAAATGACGACGAGGGTGGGCTTGGGAAATCTTCATCTCTCCAAGCTAAGTGTTATATCCCTGTTGACTATCCTTCCTATGCTAGGCTAAATACATGTTTTGTTAACTGTTGAATGGCCTTTGAGTGTTTCATTTCAGTATCAGATCAAATTTCTGGGGAACCAGCCTGAGTCACCTGCAGTGTTGATGCCAGCTCACATCTACCATGCATGCGTCTCTCTATTGCCCTCTACCTAATATTCATTCCTGATTTTTTCAGAGCCCATTGTGTCCCATATCTCACAGCCATACAACACCACTGGTAGAATACTGGTACTAAAAAGATGCACCTTTGTTTTGGAGAAGAGTTTGAGATAATTAAAGGAGTTTTGCAATTTCCTGAAGGTTACTCAGCCCTCTGTCTTCCTGAGTAATCCTGGGTCTAATGCTCTTATGCATAATAATTTCTTATTCACTAATTGTTTTGTGTGCTATACTAATTGTTATATGACTTCTTTTCCCAATTAAACTGAAAAGTTCCTGCAGGTATTAGTATCATAAGATTTAGCATTACATGGAATCTCAGAGATCAACTGGCCCAAAGTATCTTAGCCTTTGTGTGTGTGTGTGTGTGTGTCTTTCTGTCTGTCTGTCTGTTGTGGCCTCCTTCAGAATGTTTTTAAATGCATAAGATTAAAAACATAGGATTACAAATAAAACTAGTTATATTGAAATTTATCCACATTTTTTTTAAAGTTCATGGATCTCAAGTTAAACCTCTTCAAGTCCAACCCCCTCATTTTGTAGATGAGGAAACTGAGGTTTTACTTGCCTAGGGTCACGCAACAGAAGAGTCAAATTTCAAGCCCAGGTCCTCCAATTCCATATTCATTGTTCTTTACATCTTGCCATCTCTGACCCTATTATATGGTTGTTGTTGTTGTTGTTGTTGTTCATTCGTTTCAGTTATGTCTGACTCTTCATGTCCCCTTCTGGGGTTTTCTTGGCAAAGATACTGGAGGGCTCTCCAGATCATTTTACAACTGAGGAAACTGAGGCAAATAGGGTTAAGTGACTTGCCTAGGGCCACACAGCTAGTAAGTATCTGAGTCCCAGATTTGAACTCAGGTCTTCCTAACTCCAGGTCTAGCATTCCATACACTGCACTACCTCTCTGCCCTGACCTGATTATAGTTCTTCATAATTCAAGGGACCCTAACACAGAGAGAGAGAGAGAGAGTCCCAGAGTCCCAGAGAGGTCATAGGATGATAGACATAAAGGTCAGCTAGCCTAACCCCCCTGATTTTACACATGAGGAAAGAGAGACCTAGAGAGGTCAAAGGATCATAGTGCTAGAGCGAAAAGGGACTGCAGCTGTTATCTAATCCAACCCCCTTATTCTACAGATGAGGAAACTGAGACCCAAGGAGGATAAGTGACTCTCCCAACATCATGCAGGCTGGACAGTGACAGAGCTGGTATTCAAAACCCAGGTCCTTGGACTTTAAATCCAGAGATCCTTCCACTGCATGAAGCCGCCTCCTTGTCTAGTCTTACCTGAGGTGGGAAGGAGAGCTTGCCAGAGGAGAAGGAGCCACCAATTCATTCAGCTGCTGGAGGAGGACCAGAGGAAGCAGAGCTGGGTCAGTCAAAAGAGCTGACCAGCTTTCAGATAAATAAGCAAAACTGAACCTACCAGGAGATGTCAGTTGTGGGGCAAAAGAAAAAAAATGTAAATGTCAATTTAAGCAAAAACATTGTGGGTGGCAGGAGAGTGGGGGGAACAGGTTCTCTTAGCAAGTACACAGGCAAGGTAAGATGAGCCTCAGCAAAGACCACAGCACGTCAACAGAAAAGACCACAAAGGGAAACATCTAACAATGTGGTTAAAGTCAGGTGGCCTTGAATTGTTATTAGTCAATTCACCGCTACTTCAGGCTGCATTTATTTATCTGTTCTCATCTAAAGAATCAAAGGTGTTTGACATGCAAGGTCTCTGTATGACCCGAGATGGTGAATTCAGCAGCCTTGGGAAATTTTCCATATATATTCCCCCATCTCATCCAGCTTAAAAAAAAAAAAAATGTGCAAAGTTAAGGAAAATTAAACTTTGAACAGTTCATGGGAAAGGTTCTGTGGAATGCTAGCAGGCAAATAAATAAGAAACATGTATGATGGGGAACTGGTGAGGCTTAGCGGGGAAAGGAAAGAGAATAAGCATTTATAGAGAGCCTACTATGTGCCAGGTACTGTACTAAGCACCTTCTACACATCCTATTTCATTTGATCCTTACAACAGCCCTGCAAGATAAGTGCTACTATTATCATCATTTTACAGTTGAGAAAACTGAGGCAAACAGAGGTTGAGTGATTTGCCCAGGGTCACATAGCTAGAATCTGAGGCCACATTTGAACTCAGGTCTTCTTGACTCCAGACCCAGTGCTCCATCCACTGTGCTAGCAGATGCCTTCAAGCAGGGTGCTATGCATCTTGGATAAATGTGATATATATTTTTCCCCCTTCACTAGAGGTACCAATTTTCTAACCTTCTTCCAGACCTCTATGCAGCTCCTACAGGGAGGGAAATCAAAGAAAGGGGAGAGAAAAAAAGGGACAGTGTTTCTAGCATGGTCCAGCAGAAAGAGCACAAGACTTAAGAATGAGAAGGTATGGGTTAGACTAGAGGATCAGCTCAGCCCCTTATTTCATCCGGCCTTTCAGCTACCCCACAGGCTAACTTGAACAGAGGGGCTGTCAGACCTATAACTGCATGGGGAACTTGAAGGTGAAGGTTAGAGATTGGACAACAATGGTGACCAGTTGCCAGAGCATAGCGCCTACTCCTGGGCTCTGAGTTTCATTTAGCGATATCCTCTTTTCACTGGACAGGAGCTTCAGTGACCAAAAGGTTGTAGAGACAGAATAGGGCTCCGGGTCCTGGAACCAGAAATCAACATCCTGCTGACCTTTTTAAACATTTAACTATCACCATAAGCTGCTTTCTATTTGAGTCAACCTATAATGAGTATCTATGTCCTTCCTCTGATTTTGTTGTTGTTATTGTGGTTTAGTCACTTTTCAAAAACCCCTTTTGGGGTTTACTTGGCAAAGATACTGGAGTGGTTTGCCATTTCCTTCTCCAGCTCATTTTATAGAGGAGGAAATTTGAAGCAAACAGGGTTAAGTGACTTGCCCAGGGATACAAAGCTAGTAAGTGTCGGAAGCCAGATTTGAACTGAGGTAGACTCAAGGCGCAGCACTCTATCCACTGCACCACCTAGCCACCTGACTTACTGGGTGACAGGTCTATTATAAAACACTGAATTTCTGGGTTGTTTCTCCTATTCCTGTACTGTATCCATTAAGCTAAAGACAGAAGAAATGGACTCCAACCTGAGAGGGAGGGTTTTGGTTATTTTTTGCCCTGAAGTATGGAAAAAGGAGTGGGAGGAATTTTGGGTTTTTAAAGTTTGACATCCTATTATCTAATCTAATTAAATAGCTTGCTTAACTATAGCCTTGCTTGGGAATTTGTTACTGAGAAGGAAAGGCTGAGTAGGGAATGGAAGGGGGTCGGCCAGCAGGTGGGGTGATAGTCTAGCTTTCCTGGCTTCTTTCAAATGTTAACCTAAAGCCTGACTTTCAAGAAGCCTTTCCCTGTCCTCCTTTATCTTAGTGCTTCCCTGGTTAGATTACTCCTATTTATCCTGCATATTTTGTTTGTACATAGTTGTTTGTATGGCGTCTCTCTCATTAGTTTGTGACCTCCTTGAGAGAAGAGACTTTTTTTTTACCTTTCTTTGTATCCCCAGGGCTTAACACAGTGCCTGACACATGGTAGGGGTTTAATAAATGCTTGTTGATTGACATTGACTGGTATAAAGTTGTTGAAGTCATGATTGACACATACTCCTTTCTAAGTATTCAGGGTGTAGATGCCCATCGATTGGGGAAAGGATCAACAAATTGTAGTTCATGGAATAGTACTGTGATAAAGGGATAATAATGTGTGAGATGAATAGAAAAGCATGGAAAGATTTACATGAGCTGATGCAGAGCAAGCAGGATCAAGAAAGCAATATATCCAGTAACTACAACAATGTAAAGGAAAAAGAATAACCATACACCAAAAAGTCAAAAGTGAACATAACAAAATTATCGAGATCAAGCATGACTCCAAAGAAGAGATATGAGAAGACAGCCCCCACCCAACCTCTTCATGAAGGTGGGAGGTCCACAAGTGTTACACACTGCACGTTTTTGGTTTTTTTCAAATGTATCAATCAGTTTTCAATTTTTTTTCTTTTTAAAAAAATGCTATTTGTTATGATGGTTCTCTGGGAAGGGAAGAGATAAGGATTCTGAGGATAACCATGATGATATAAGAAACAGAAGACATCAATAAAAGCTTATTTTTAAATTTTTAAAAGAAAAAATAAGTACCCAGGCCATAGCAGTGGAGGACAGAGTGCTGAGTGATCGATTTCCAGTCACCTGCCTCAGTGCCCTAAATGTTGACAGTATTCAAGAAAACACTTTTATACACTTGTTAGTCATGTGACTGTAGATAAGTTACTTAGCTTCACCAAAACTCAATTTCCTCATTTATAAAGATAAGGACAATAATTCTTGGACTATCTATCTCACTGGGGGAAAAGTGCTTTTATCAAGCCATATTGGAAGGTAGCTATACAATTTGGTAAATGGGAGGAGAAAATAGGTTCCATTTGCATGGAATGGAGTAGAATTAGCAAATCCTTGAATTTTAGAGCTAGAAAGTAGCTTAAAAACAATCTAGTCTAATCCCTCATTTTTAAAATAAGGAAACTAATGCCCAGAAGTAGTACATCTGCAGTAACAGGGAAGGTGAGGGGGTGGGGTTTAGAGGGAAAAATAATGATTTCCATTTTAGACATACTGAGTTTCAGATGTCTACTGGACATCCAGTGTGAGATGTCTGAAAGGCAGCTGCAGATGCGAAATTTGGGGTCAAGCAAGACTTAAGGGCAGGACAGGTAGATTTGAGAATCATCAGCATAGAGATGGCACCCCAGTTTGATTTAACCCTTAACACATATTAGCCTTTACAAAGAGATGTTTACTTCAGATATAGATATCAAAGAACCGGCATACAAGAATTTCCTCCAGTACCTCTACCCAGATACTCTTCCTTATACAACACTAGACTCTGAGAGAGCAGGCTCAACACTTAGCTCATTCCCTAAATAGCATGAGCCCTGTCTAAGTGTGGCACGCCTGCCTGGCGAGTCTTTCAGATGGACAAAGGTCCTGAAGTTCACTCCTGAGGATAGTTCCATGTTCCTCGTGATAGCAAAGCTGAGCTGGCTACAAAACCTGGGCTGAATTCTGACTTTCAGATCCCTGTACCTCACTCTCCCCACTGGTTCCTTTCACCTAGAATAGAAATTAACAAAGGAAACGACCAAAGACTGAGTCAGGCCTGATTCTCAGGTCCTTATGGCCTCAGAAAGAGAAAAGACCCTGAGATATCTTCTCTTTTTTTTTATTAATTTATTTTGATTTATCAACAATCACTTCCATATGCTTTAGAATTTAAAATTTTTCTCCCCCTTCCTCCCCACCACCCTCCCCAAGATGGCACACAATCTGATATAGGCTATACATATACATTCTTATTAAACATATTTTCATGTTAGTGATGTTGTAAGTAAAAATTAGAACCAATAAGAGGAACCACTAGAAAGAGGAAACAACACTCAACAGAAGAAAAAAAAAATAGCAAATAGTATGCTTCGATCTGCATTCAAACTTCATAGTTCTTTCTTTGGATGTGGATAGCATTTTCCATCATGAGGCCACTGGAGAAGTCTTAGATCCTTGTATTGCTGGGAAGGGTTAAGTTTATCAATATTAGGCATCGCACAATGTGGCTGTTATTGTATACAACATTCTCTTGGTTCTGTTCACTTCATTCAGCGTCAGACCATACAAGTCTTTCCAGGTTTTTCTGAAGTCAGCATGTTCATCATCTCTTATAGCACAATAGTATTCCATTTCGTTCATATACCACAACTTGTTCAGCCATTCCCCAATTGATGGGCATACTCTCAATTTCCAATTCTTTGTCACCACAAAAAGAGCTGCTATAAATATTTTTGTACATGTGGGTCCTTTTCCCATTTGTATGATCTCTTTGGGATATAGCCCTAGAAGTGCTATTGCTGGGTCAAAGGGTATGCACATTTTTATAGCCCTTTGGGCATAGTTCCAAATTGCTCTCCAAAATGGTTGGATCATTTCACAACTCCACCAACAGCGCATTAGTATTCCAATTTTCCCACATCTTCTCCAACATTTATCATTTTCTTGTTTTGTCATCTTGGCCAATCTGATAGGTGTGATGTGGTACCTCAGAGTTGTTTTGATTTACATTTCTCTAATCAATAGGGTGATTTAGAGCAATTTTTCATATGACTATAGATGGCTTTAATTTCTTCATCTGAGAACTACCTGTTCATATCCTTTGACCATTTATCAATTGGGGAATGACTTGTATTCTTATAAATTTAACTTAATTCTCTATATATTTTAGAAATGAGGCCCTTATCAGAGAGACTGGTTGTAAAGGTTCTTTCCCAATTTTCTACTTTCTTTCTAATCTTAGCTGCATTGGCTTTGCTTGTGCAAAAACTTTTCAATTTAATGTAATCAAAGTTATCCATTTTGCCTTTTGTAATGTTCTCTGTCTCTTGTTTGGTCATGAATTCTTTTGTTCTCCATAGATCTAATAGGTAAACTATTCCTTGCTCTCC